AATGACATCTTAGATGATATACCAGTCCAGATTAACCTTTTCGCCGACGACTGTGTTCTTTACACTGAAATTTCTAGTCCTGACGACCACCTTCTCATCGATGCCTCCCTGGCAAAAATTAACTTATGGTGCGCGAAGTGGCAAATGACTCTTAACGCGGAAAAAACAGTATTTATGAACATCACACGAAAAAAAACTATTTCACATTTTTCTTACTCAATAGGCGGCGTACCTCTGCAAAAAGTTGAATCATTTAAGTACCTAGGGGTGATCATTACGTCGGATCTACGATGGAACGATCACATTCACTACATCTCAAGACGTGCTTTCCAAAAGCTAGGCTACCTGAGACGATCCCTGGGGCGCTCCAGTGTATCGGCGAAGCTGACTGCATTCCAGACCTACGTGCTACCCATTCTGGAATATGCAGGAGTGGTTTGGGATCCGCACACCGAAGTAAACAAAAATAAAGTGGAAAAAATACAAAGGAGGGCGGTAAGGTTTATCTACAACTCCTATAGCTGGTCTGTGTCTCCCAGCCAGCTCCTGCAAAATGCCAACCTCGAGAGTCTTGAAAATAGACGACGGAGAGATCGATTAAAATTCTTCTATCTAATCATTAATGACCAGCTAAAGATTAACAAAAACAAGTATATCTCATTTTTTCAGCCACGATTAACAAGACGATCACATCAACTGTCAATAAGGGAATTTTCTGCTAAAAACAATGTATTTCATTATTCATTTTTTCCACGCACTGTTATAGAACGGAATTCCCTGCCAGCCGACGTTGTGAACAGTTCAACCTTGTCTTCATTCCTCTCCCAAATCGGTTAAAAAAGTAAATAGTTGTTGTATGTGTGAGTTGCATCTTGATTGAATATTATGCATTCTATATTCGCGAGTGTTTTCCGATGGGATTGGATGAGCCAGTCACTTTGCTTGTCTGTGTCGCGTTGCAGCAAGGCGCTGCCGAGATTTTGAACTCTGTATAACGGCACTTTTTTCTTTTTTTCAAATATATAGTTTCACTCCTGCTATCGCCTCCACGAGGTGAGCAGTATTAATAAATAAATAAAATCTCGACACGGGCACTGAGGTTTGTGTTCTTCTAGTTTCATTCGATTCACGAAGTAGAAAAAGTCCCCGTTCATTTTGCATGCAGCAAACAAATCATCGATTTTGACTTACAAAGAACAATTCTTGACGTTCGACATCAAATTCCGAAGAACATTTCGCTAAATATTCCCAGTTGCGGATGTTCCATGTGATATCCCATCTTGGGAGCGGACTTTCTTGGATGTTTCATCCTACCCGTGGATATGCACAGCAAACGCCTTCTCGACTCCAACCTAACCGTGAGCGCAGTATGCCAAAAACCTCTCATGGAAGCCGCTATTCATTATCTTCCATCTTCATGATATGAAACGCTCCTTGAATTGTACTCGCAACTAATCACGGTAAACAGTTTGGATACGCCTGGTAAGCATGACGTGGCCACATCGTCACTACAGGTACAGAACCACCAGTCTGTACTCGTCCTGGACGTTTGCCTTCCGCACGACTCAAAATTGCAAAAGACTAATTGAAGCATATGCTAGAGTTTGGCGTTATTCGACCATCTAAAAGTCCACGGGCCTCTCCACTACACGTGGTACCTAAAAGGGAACCTGGTGACTGGCGACGATGTGGATATTACCGGGCTGTCAACAATGCGACTTTCCCTGACGGGTGCCCACGCCACGCATTGGCGATTTCACGGCCTCCGTGCAAGGATCTACCATCTTCTCAAAGGTTGACCTGGTAAAGGCGCACACCATCAAATTCCAGTAGTACAGCAAGCTAGACATCTCAAAAACCGCTATAGCAACACCATTCGGCCTGTTTGAATATCTTCACATATGTTCGGAATGCTAAACGCTGGGCAAACATTCCAGCGATTCCTGGACACCGTCGTCCGAGGCCTCCTTTTTGCTTTGCGTACCTCGGCAACATTCTGGTTTTCAACGCAAATGAACAACAGCACGATCGCAACACCTTCGCACCATCTTTAATTGACTGGCCAGCAATGACATCACCATTAACAAAAGCAAGTGTGTCTTGGGCGCCGACGAACTCGACTTTCTCGGTCATCATGTTAACATTGAAGGAATTTCGTTCTTGCCCGCGAGGGTGGAACCTAACGCCAATTTTTCTCTGCCGTCGTGCATTCGCAGACTTCACGAATTCCTCGGGTTAGTTAACTTTTACAAGCGATTTATTCGCGAACTTGCCCATAGCCTTCATTCATTGACTCCTCTATTGCAGAGCAATACAAAGGACTCCATACCATTAGTTTGGACAGACAAAACGGCGCATGCTTTCAAGCAAATCAGAGACGACCTCACTTTGGCTACAATCCTTCTTCATCCCCACCATGATGCTCCGATAAACGTCACGGTTGACACCTCGAATGAGGCCACAGGAGCTGTTTTGCATTAGGTTGTGAATAACAGCTGGCAACCCCTGGCATTAATGGACGAGGAGTGTGTTGGTGTGGGTCAAGATTGAAGAAAGAATAGAAAGATGTGATGGTGTATTCGTCTTACTTGTTAACTCTTTCTTCAGTTTTAACCACTGGCATTTTTCTTGAAGAAGCTCGTACCATGTGAAAAGAAGTACCGCGGCCGAGAATGACTAACAATATACCACGCCATCAAACATTTTCGCCTTTTCATCGAAAGTCGAGACTTCCACGTTCTTACTGGTTAAGCCTCTTACATTTGCATTAAAGGCCGACCAACAAATAGAAAGAAGGAAACTCTCCCTCAATTCCTCGTTTCCCTTCGAGAAAGAGGGAGACCCTCCTTTCTGCAGGGAGCAGCTTAGATACCGTCCTTGTGAGGAAGGTAAGAGAGAAGAGTGAGAAGGGCGCAGGAGGGAATAGAGATAAAGAACCTGAGAACCGGTTTTCTGCTGGCAGACGACGAATCTGCAAGGCGGCCTTTAATGTCTGCAAACAGCATGCGTGGTGAAATTCGACTTATGTCTTTTATATCCGAATTCACCACCGACATTCGTCACGTCAAAGGTTCAGACAACGGCGCAGCAGGCACACTTTCCCGCATCGTCATGACATCGCAACTCTCGCTGCCACCGTTTGTTGATTACCAAACTTTGGCACGAGAACAGGCGGATGAGGTCGGGAACATTCGTACTCATTCTAGTCATTTCATTTTCTAGGAAATACAACCCTTAACAGGAGCCATTGGTCTGTGAGATGTCGACAGGCAGTCCTCGCCCTTTCGTTCCATCGAGATTCCGGATAAACTTTATCACTCTTTTCACTGCTTGTCACGTCGTGGGATACGCGCAACACGATGACTTGTAACTCAGATTTATCTGACTAACTGTGAATCGCGACATGAGGGAGTGGACACGTGCTGCCTCCAGTGCCAACACTCCGAGGTCACTCGGCGCACATCTTCACCCTTTTCGTCCTTTACCACTCCTGACCATCAAACAATATAACTACTTGCTCACCTGCATTGACTGATTTACGCGTTGGGTCGAAGCCTACCCGATCCAGGATATTCGTGCCGAGAACGTCGGCCACGCTTGGGTATCCAGATTCGGTGTACACCTCTTACCACGGATCGTGGGCTCCACACTGCTTTGAAAACGGACGTCTATTGTAGCCTAACTGCATTGGTTTATGGAACCTTACGTCTACCATGATAAGTTCTCACAAATGGGCCAGATCAATAATAGTGGATTTACCGAGCTACGCTGAGAATTTGTTGATAATGCACAACATCCGACCCACTCCTCCTCGCCGGTAGTACCTTCTCACACGCACACACGTGTTTCTTCGCCGATACGCTAGACCTCTTCAACAGCCCTACGGCGGTCGTTACAATTTTACTCTCGACATCAAAGGACAAAAACAAACCGTGTTCATTGACCGCTTAAAACCAGCTCACCAAGAATTTACGAATTTACTTCCCTATGGGCTGGGCTTCGCGCGCTTAAGAACATGCTTTAATGGTTCCGGTAGTGCGGTACACGGAATACGGTAACGGCTTGCCCCCGCAAAAATATGCCGTCAGTATAGTCGCGTGGTTGCAGCCAGCCAATGGGAAGAAACTGCCGGCATTTGCCCGCCCGGACTACTCTGCCGGCTTCCGGCAAAATAGACTCGTCCATGTTTATTCGGAGTGCGCTACAGTTTTGAACGCGTAAACGTTGAAGGCTGCTGCGAAACGCGAGTGCATCGAATCCGCCGAAGCCGGCCGGCGAATATTTGTTTTTTCGCGGACTTCTGTGTGACATATGGTAAGAAACGAATGCTTATTTGCACTTGTTTTTCCTAGCATTTGCTTCGTCGTCTTTTTTTTTTTTTTTTAACTCACCTTAGGGCAGTTCCCTGCCCCCAGTCGCTGCTTTGATTCCACCACGTTGGATTCTATGACGGAGAAAAAAGTGAACGACGAACATCGTTCTACGCCGGCGCGCGTTGGGTTTGCTGACGCGAAAGTTTAAGCAGGCCGGGCGCATTGGTAACGCCGATCGCGTTCAGAGCCTGAACTTACGACGATGCAAGGGGCGACGAGGCCGACGATATTTGCACGTCCTCTGTTTGGCAGCAGCAGCCGCTTCGCTGCAACCGCTTCGCTCCAACCCTCCAATCATTGAATTTTTCCGACTGTGTCACAGAGCAAAAATGTTTTGCTTCTTTTTTTTTTTTTTTTTGTAATTTTAGTTTGACAACAATTACCAAAATTATTGGAATTTCCGGGATTACACTTTTCCTCCATGTTCCTACGTTTCGTGAGGTCCGTTTCACCGCAAATTTCAAACCAGTTTATAAATAACTGGAGCGCTCCCTAAACTTTCTTTTTTTTTTCTTTTTTTTTTTGGGGGGGGGGGGGGGAATAAATAGACCCCCTTTGATTGCAGTACTGTTGGATTAAGTTGGCAGAATGTTTGGTGTCACTGATGATTTTTCGATGGCATCGCAGGAAACCCAAGGCAGAGGACCGGCAGCCTTCCGGGGACAGGAAGGCGTTTCCCGTCCAGCTTACGAGGCACAGCGGACCCGGAGTTGGGGACACGCTGGTGGCACGCCTCTCTCTGCCCGGAGTCGTAGGTGGCGCTAATTGTCGCTATGCCTGCAACTTGGCTCTGTTACGGGCTTTGCTGCGCCATTACCTTGCTCTATTCTGCTCCATTTCGTCAGAGTATAATGAATTTGCGCGAGCATTGCGCCAAAACTAAATTTCATTTTATTAAAGATCAGGCCCGCTACATGGCCGGATAGTTATTATAGTCCTGTCCGGATTTACGGAACTTTCGATTATCGCCTAAAATAACGTACTACTCGATTTGATCTTTGTATCAAACGCTTGTACAGTAAACTCTCATTAATTCAAATTCCAGGAGGTCACAGATTTTAGTTTGAATTATCAGAAGTTTGAATTATCAGAAATTCATCTCAATATGATACTAGAAAACATTATGATTCTGGAAAACATTATGGAAACATTATGATACAAGAAAATATTATGATACTAGAAAACATTATACACCCTATTGGAAAACCCCAATATAAACAGCGTATTATGGATATTGGTAAACAATATCTTTTTATTGTATTGCAATACAATATAGACAGTGTATTGGAAAACATTACATTTATTGTATTGTATTACAATAAGGTTTTGTTATGGGATTCCAATATCCATAATACGCTGAAAAGATTGGAATCCAATACCGTATAAACCCTTATTGGATCCCCATGTGTCTATGGGGATCCAATAAGGGTTTAAGATTCCAGTGTACTTAGCGTATTATGGATATTGGAATCCAATATATTATATTGGCTACCAATAAAACTATACACGAGTTGGAAAATCACGTTCAGCGCAGCATTTCTCCGCAACGCAGTCTCTTCTTGTGTGTATTTCTGAGTGATAAAATAAAAAATGTTGCTGTTGTCAAATTATGAATAAAGAAGCAAAACACTGGGCTTATTCATAGCAAATATATTTAACATATTGCTGAACTGGAGGATCTGGCATTTACTGCAAAAGAAAGTCAATTGTTTAGGACCCTCATTCAAAAACTTGCTGTTTGAAAACAGAACGTGAAATCCTCACCTTTCAATGAAAACAGCACCTGCTAGCTGTAGCCATATAGAAGCTGCAAAATAAAAATTTGGGATTAGTTTGCAACAAGTAGCAATCCTTCACTAAGCTGGATAGATTCAAAATTATGTCTGTGTTTGATTGCGGAAAGATAAGCTTCCATTCCACTGCCACGGGTCATTCTGAGCTTGGTCAATTAAATACACCTATCCGCTCGTCTGGCTTCACAGTTCCTGCTTTGCACCTAACCACGGTGAAAGATACACTCTTTAGGTGAGGACACGCCGGGGCTGAATGAGCGGCGCGAGGAATCAAATAGTGTTCGTTCGACGGGCATCCGAAAGACTGCATCATTCGGCTGCCACCGTGCCCACGACTGACAGTGCCACCGGCGGCCAAACGGCGGAACTGTGTGACAGCAAAAAAACATTATCTCGTTGTCATGACACCCCGGTACACCATGGTCTTTCTGCACGTGTGACAACCTCGCTGGAGCTCTGCGCGTGTGGTACATAAGGCGGCACGAGCCGTCTTGAACGTGCCCACGGGTCGACGAGTCACCTGCTGGCGTTGCTTGAAACCAAAGTGAGAGAGTGTGAAGAGCGAACTTCATCGGTCCGTGGCCAAGAGCGCGCTGTCCTCACCTGAAGAGTATTATCTTACACCGTGCACCTAATTAAAGTATCTGGAATGCTCACCTTTGAGGAAAAACAAACTGGTGCTTGCTTGCTTGTAGGCCGTGGAAACTGAGAAACTGGGAGAGAGATTTGCGATTAGTTGCGTTCAAGTAGCAATTACATTGAGTAGCCCCGTAAAGTACACTAAGTCGATAGGATGGAAGCTTGGGCGAGTTACTGAACCATACTTGACGGTGACAGCGCAGCCAAATTAATCTCACACCAGACACTCAGGAAGACAAGCACACGCGCTGAACTTACAACTCTTGTGTATTCGACTGCTTCATTTTTCTCTTCAACGTCTGGGTTGACTTTTTAGAACGTGATAAGTAGAAGAAGTAGCACGAAATACAAAGGAAAATTCTAAAGAGAAGGCAAAAGAACAGTAAAAGAGAAGACAAATGAAGAAACGGAAAAAATATCTAAACGAAACACTTTTCCAAATTGTCCCTCTCCCTCATCGCTATCATTTAGATAGAAATTGGAGCTCTTTGGTCGACAGCGCTATAGAAGGACTACTTACAGACTTGTCCTTCAGCTGTGCTATCCTTTCCGCTTCCATTATTTCTCTAGTCAATGCGTCTCTACTCCTACCTATTACAGAACAATTTTCAAAATGTGCTATACAGCCACAATCGCGACAATGGATTCCCAAGTGTCCAGCTACGACTCGGTGGGTGTTATAAAAATGCTCTCTTAAACGATCATTCAAACACCTTCCAGTCTAGCCTACATACTCTCTACCACATGAGAGTGGGACAGAATATACGACTCCTTCAGCACAATTTACAAAGCTCTTTTGGTGCTTTTTCAAACAACCAACTTCACGGTGTGCCGTCATTTACCTTCCTGCACAGGCTTAGAAGCTTATTTGGTGCTGAAAAAGCAACATTAATGTTAATGCAGTTACCTATCTTTTTTAGACCGTGCGAAACTTTATGTATATATGGAACAATGGCCGTCCTTTTCTTTTCTGTATTGCGTTTAGGTCGTTCACCCCATCTTATTCTCCTTAATAAATCCTCTGCAACGGCTGTAAGTAATGCACTAGGATATCCTGTTGACTTTAACCTGGAGATTTGAGCATCAGAGCAAACATTAAGTGAATGAATACAAGACTTATTAAGCACACTGGTGAGACATAATTTAACAATGCCTCGCTTAACAAGCTTGGAGTGTGCTGACTGAAAATTAAGTGGTTTCTTCCCTCTCGGTTTGTATGACCAACATACATGATGCTCCGAAAAAATTAATCTGAGGTCCAAGAACCATAAGGAACCTTCTGTGGAGAGCTCATGAGTGATTTCTGGTGGATCTATACAGGATTTACAACAGGAAAGAACATTAGAGACTAATATTTGAAAGTCCTTAGCTGCACAATCTAGCACAATCAAAAAATCATCTACAAAGCGAAACACCTTCACAACAGAAGAAGCATCTAAGCTACGTGAAAGGATCCGGCCCCGATGCGCGAGGTAAAGGTTACTCAAAAGTGGTACTATGCATGAACCAATGCATAACCCTGCTTTTTGGAGAAAGGTGTTACCCTCCCAACATGCAAACATAGATTTAAAATATACGGTGAGCAGTTCAAGGAAACCACCTTGCAAAAATCCTGACGCGGTCTGAAAAGTAATAAGTCATGTATTCATTCAATTAAGGTTAGCTTTGATGCTCAAATCGCCAGGTTAAAGTCAACATGATATCCTAGTGCATTACTTACAGCCGTGGCAGAGGATTTATTAAAGAGAATAAGATGGGGTGAACGACCTAAACGCAATACAGAAAAGAAAAGGACGGCCGTTGTTCCATATATACATAAAGTTTCGCACGGTCTAAAAAAGATAGGTAACTGCATTAACATTAATGTTGCTTTTTCAGCACCAAATAAGCTTCTAAGCCTGTGCCGGAAGGTAAACGGATCGGCACACCGGGAAGTTGGTTGTTCGAAAAAGCACCAAAAGAGCTTTGTAAATTGTACTGAAGGAGTCGTATATTCTGTCCCACTCTCATGTGGTAGAGAGTATGTAGGCTAGACTGGAAGGTGTTTGAATGATCGTTTAAGAGAGCATTTTTATAACACCCACCGAGTCGTAGCTGGACACTTGGGAATCCATTGTCGCGATTGTGGCTGTATAGCACATTTTGAAAATTGTTCTGTAATAGGTAGGAGTAGAGACGCATTTACTAGAGAAATAATGGAAGCGGAAAGGATAGCACAGCTGAAGGACAAGTGTGTAAGTAGTCCTTCTATAGCGCTGTCGATCAAAGAGCTGCAATTTCTATCTAAATGATAGCGATGAGGGAGAGGGACGATTTGTATGTGTTTCGTATAGATATTTTTTCCGTTTCTTCATTTGTCTTCTCTTTTACTGTTCTTTTGCCTTCTCTTTAGAATTTTCCTTTGTATTTCGTGCTACTTCTTCTACTTATCACGTTCTGAAAAGTCAACCCAGACGCTGAAGAGAAAAATGAAGCAGTCGAATACACAAGAGTTGTAAGTTCAGCGCGTGTGCTTGTCTTCCTGAGTGTCTGGTGTGAGTTCGATTTTTCCTGCGCTGTCACCTTCAAGTACACTAAGTTGGAAAGATTAAAAAATTACACATGCGCGGGACATAGATAACCTCTTGCGACGTAACTAGGCATACGTCAATTGCGCTCGCGTGTATTACAGAAAAATAAGCTTCAATGAAGGCCCCCAGTCGTTCTGAGCTTCGTCAATTAAAAATGCTGTACCGGTCGTCTGGCTTCAGTATTCCTGCTTCGGGAATCTGGGACTCTCACCTCTGAGGAAAAGCAAACTGGGACCTGCTGGCTCTTAGGCCTTGGAAATTGCCAGAAAGATTTGCGATTAGTTGCGTCCAAGTACCGATTTCTTTGACCAGCCACCTACAGCACACTAAGCCGGATAAAATCAAAATTACATGTGCGTGACATAATATGCCTCTTGTGACAAAACTTGGCACATGTTTTGTCGCCTACAGCAACACTGAAGCCAGACAGACAAGCGATACGGCATATTTAATTGACGGAGCTCAGAACGACTGGGGACGCTTTCACTGAAGCTTGTTTTGCTGCAATACAAGCGTGTATTGCACCAAAACAAGCTTCAGTGAAAGCGTCCCCAGTCGTTCTGGGCTCCGTCAATTAAATATGCCGTACCGCTTGTCTGGCTTCAGTATTGCTGCTTCAGAAAAATCTAGAAAATCTAGAATCCTCACCTTTGAACAAGAATGAACTGGCGCCTGCTGGCTTGTGGGCCGTGGAAACTGCAAGAGATTTGCGATTAGTTATGTCCAAGTAACAATTTTTTTGAGTAGCC